AATAAATTATTATTAAGAAAGATTAAAATACTTTATTTTAGTAATATGAATTAAACTTTTTTTAATCTTTTTTTGAGGATATTTTATTTAAATGACTTAATTTTAAAAATTTTTTCTTATTTTTTGAAAAATAAGGTAATCTATAAACACTAACTCTTAAATTTTACATATATTTTTTTATCAAAAGATGTGGTGATCTATCCTATAATTCGGTCAAGACCTACAATCCCTGCTTAGATTAAGGAATTGAAGTGATTGGTCTTCCCAAAAAAATCAAATATAGATCAACAAGTGCCATGCAAACCGGTTTACTTCAATGTAACGGCCCGGTTTACTTCAACCTTTCTTGGGCTAGGTTAAGGATAGTGGATAGTTGGATCTTCGATGGATCAAATTTTTTTGGGCTTAGCACCCAACAAAGACAAATGAAATCAGGTCCATACCATAACCATCACATTCCACTTTCACAGTTTCACTCTGTTCGCTGGCTCCTCTCTCGGTCAGTCGGTCTCCAGTTCATTCCCCTTCTTTCGCAAAATGGAGATTTTCTCTCTGGCAACTGCTGGTGTTAGTAGCTTTTCGGCCCTCCTGCAGACCCCTAACTTTCGTCCCTGTTTTCTTAAGGATCCACGATCGTCATTGGTCCAATTCAGCAAAGCCGCAATTTCAATGCTGCTCTTTTCGCTGGAACCGGCAGCGAATTTCTCTTCTTTGGCTGGCGTAACACATGGCAGCGGGGGTCCAAATTATTGGACATTGAACGTAGCGAGTAGAGAATATCAGTGGAATGGAAATCGAGTACTCAAGCGATTCCTACGATTTTTCATCATCTTCAGAGCTTCAATTTGAGGTTTATAGCCTGGTACTAATTTCAAGTTAAATTTTTTCTTCTTGGTTCTTAATTCAAGTTTGCAGAATACTATTTCCTATTTTATTCTTCTATTTGGATTATTTTTAAATTTGACCCGTTTTTATAGTTTTTCCTTCTTTTCTTTTTTTCAGAGGATATAATTGTTGGGATTAAGTTGGGTTCAAGTAGCCTTTATGATAGCATTGAGAGCTGTTGAGGGAGGGGTAGAAAAGAAGAGAATGTAAGTCAATTTCATAATTTCCTTGAAAATACATACGGAAGAACAAATTAAAAGTAGTTAAATTAGCAATCAGCACAAAGTTCCACTTTCAAACTCATCTAAAATAGTAGTTAAATTAACAAAGGCAAATGGGCTTATGTCTCAAAACTTTGGAAATTGCTGCCAATATCATCTTCTCTAATCTCTAAAACTCCCAGTTATTTTGGTTTCCCTTGATATTGTGACAGCAATGACGATTTCACTCTTTTCTTGGCTACTTATGATACTCATTTTTTCTTTGAGGTTAAGGCCTGTTTGGTGTAGATTGTGAGAAGAGCTTTTTGGCTCTAAAAGCACAAGCTGCACCGAATAGGTTAGCTTCCGAAAGTGGCTGCAGCTTTTGAGAAGCTCAGCTTCTCACTTTTCCTTTGCAAAGGCCGGAAGCTCCCATTTCTTACTTCCGCAGCAGCTTCCGGCTTTTAAATTAATGAAATTGACATGATATCCCCATTTTATCCTCGCATTTCCTTTTATTTACAAAAAAACCATTATATAATGTTTCAAAACACCACATTTCTGCCCCATTCTTCACTGTCTTCTTCCTCATCCAATTCAATCAGAGAGACAAACAAAATTTCTTCCTCAAACAGAAAATTCTTCCTCATCCAATTAGAGAAACAAACAGAAAATCCCTCATCTACGAACCCAGGAGCTGAATTCGCGACGAACCCCGTGCCTGGGTTCCGAGACGAACCCAAGAGCTGGGTTCATGATGAATCCCACGCCTGGGTTCGTCTCGGAACCCAGGCGCTGGGGTCACCAGGAACCCAGAGCCCGTGTTCGTTGACGAACCAAGGAGTTGGATTCACGACGAACCCCACGCCTGGGTTCGTCTCAGAACTCAGGCGCTGGGGTCACCAGGAACCCAACGCCCGGGTTCGTCGATGAACCCAGGAGCTGGGTTCACGACGAACCCCAGGCCTGGGTTTGCGAGGAACCTAGGCACTGGGTTCACGACGAACCTTACGCCTGGGTTCGCGCAAACCCAAATGTTAAAAAAAAGAAAAAAGGATAAAAGATAAAAACAGGGTGGATAATGATATATTTTATATATCTTTAAAATATAAATAATTATATAATTAAATGATTTTAAAATTATATTAATAAAAATTTAATCGTGTTATTAATTTTTTTTATATTGATGTTTCAGATAATTTAAGTAAAAAAATTTAAATTTTTTAATTAATATGTCACATTAAAATTTAATATAAAAAACATTAAAGAAAAGTTGAATTTTTAAAATTTTAAGGATTAAAAATAAAATTTTTTAAGTATAGAAATTAAAAAAGATTTGTTTTAAATAGTAAAAGACCAAAAAAAGTATTTAACTTAAATTTTAATTTTAATTGTTTTATTTATGTTATTTAAATGTAATAATATTTTATTTTTTAATATTAAAATATAAATATTTATCTAACATTTATGTTTTAAAA